TTCTGCTTCATCTTCCTCAAAGCAGATATTTAACAGTCAATTCTAACATTTATCTGGTTTAATAAGCTGATAACAACATATTAGACAGTGGAGATCTATTAACATTCGCTGTTAAAGGAAGAAAATCCAGGTTGGACGACCGTTAACCGTCTTCACTTCGCTGTTTCTTGGTTTTGGGAGCAGCTGTGATACCAGCCACCACACCGGCCCCCTGTCCTCCCCTCAGAGAGTTTCCATGGTAATAAAACGCCTCGTCGCCCCCGAAGGCCGACGTCGTCCCATTTGTTTCCATTCACGGACAATTTGCTTAAGCAGTCGGCCGAGTTCAGGCAGTCCCAGTTTCCCCTGGAGGCTAATTTCAGTTTCAGTGAAGCCTGGTTCTGTTAAACATTCACACGTAGCGTTTGAGGAATCATCACCACGTACGCTGAGCTTCACGCAGAATGAAACGCAGTAAGTAAGCAGAAGAACACTTGGACTGCTGTTCAGGATCAGTTTGCACACAACATGCTTTTCTGTTAAACCACTAAATCTGGTGTGTTTGTGTTTGTGTGAGCGGAAACACGCAGGCGATCGACACACAGTTAATCTGCCACTAAATGTTGCACATCAAATTAATTCTACATAATAAATGTAATAATAGATGCCAGCCTTTATTTTAATAATCAAATAATTACTCTGTACTTCCTACTGCTCATTCATCGATAATGAAACTAATTGTTAGCTGCAGCTCTAAAGATAAGATAACAACATTACTGATTCCACACGGGGGAATTAAAGTGTCACAGACGCAGATATTAAAACATTATTAACATCTACTCTGTATGTACGTACAACGGAAGAAAGCTGCTGCAGACAGTAGTGTTATCTTATTATTATGAGCTCAGGGAAATATACATTATTAGACTAAACTGTTAATCGACTACTTAAAAACATAATCAACAGGTTAACTGGTGATCGCACCGTCGTCCATGGTGACACAGCCACCAGACCAGGGTTAAATCAGGCCAGTGCAACATGAATAAATCTATAAAAATAATAACCAGGACGGGTTGTTTGAAGTCCCTGGGGCCCCGACAGCGTTCAGCCTCCGCTCCCGTCTGGTCGTAAGGGTCCTGAGGCTGTGCTTGAGCTAATAAGGGGTTAAAAACGTTTGTAATGCAGGGGGAGCTTATCCCGCCCACGCCATGTTTCCACGTTTTTTCCACCAAAGCCTGGAAGCTGGCGTGCTGCCCAGCTGTTGTCAGAGCCTCCAGGAGCAGATTGATTTGTGCTGCGCCGCCTCTCTCCCTCCGAACCTCCACACTGCAGACGACACACAGACGGATACTGGGCTCGGTGGGACGTCTTCACAACGACGTCATGAGCAGTGTGGTCAAAAGTGGGTTGGTGACGTCGTGTAACGTTTCTACAGTAGCCCAGAGCGGACAAACCTTTTGCCTTTTTGCGTTTTTCACAGCCGCCGTAGTTTCTCCTCCACGCTGAGCCGCTTCTCTGCCGGACGCCACTAAAATCCGTTTGATTTGCAATTAAAACTACTTTTTATTATTGATTAATCTGCAAGTTGTTTTCTCCATTAATCATTTTGTCTTTAAAAAGTCAGAAAGTAGGTTAAAATGCCCGTCAAGTCCCAGGATACTTTAATACTCATACAAGGTTATATTTGCAGTATAAACTCTAAATTGACACCCGATAGGAGACGTCAGTAAGTCCTCACCCACTCTGACCTCTAAAAACACGGAGAGAGGCGAGCGAGAGCGTTAATGAGACAGCTGAAGTGTATTAATGAGACTATCCTGGTCCAGATGTTCCAGTGGCCTCCTCTGACCCGCTGCTGATGCTGCTCCCAGAGGTGAAAGCTCTCACAGGCCTCATTAACTAAACAAGAAGTTACACAACACTATGTCATGTTAAAATACAGTCTGTATTCTCTTTAATGCTGAGTGGGCGTCACTTAAAGGTAGTTCTCAATCAAACAAATGAATTATTCAGGGGCGCTGTGTTTCATTAACTCCTAAGTTTTAGATACTTAACAAGCTTCTTGTTGTTGATTCAGTATTATGTGAATATTAATGTGCTTTCCATTCATTAATCTCCAGTATTCATCTTTGTGTGTATATTTAAACAAAGCACTTAAAGGGTTATTTCTGGTGTTTTGAAGTGGGGTTGTTTGAGGTACTTACCCATCGTCAAAATACCAGAACTACCCCTTTAAACTTCAGTGAATAATCTGAATATCTGTGTACATTTATTTTCTGTTAGTGGTAGCAGTATGTGTTTACATATCAGTATTATAGTAATGCTTACTGTTCATACTGCACTTTAAATGCCATTTTTCTGTTACTAATTCAGTATTATTCCCTCTGCACATTCTCTCCCTGTTGTTGATCTGCTTGCTTTGCATTTGTAAGTATGTTTCTACTTTTTATTTTAGTTTTAGTGTTTTTTTTTGTGTCTGTTTTCCTGTAGAAGTAGAGGTTTTCTGCGGAAAGCCAATAACTGCTGTTACCTTTGAAAATACCTCACTCCCTCTCAGCGGCTGCGCTTGAATCCCCTCCCTTCTACTTCACCTCCATTCCTCCCTCCTTCCCTCCCTCCCTCCCTCCCTCCCCACACACACTCTCTGATGTGTATTCCTTCCTCACCAGCAGGCATCAACCTTCATTAATGTACGCTAACAATCAATGAAAAGGTTGCAGGTTATATAAGGACGCAGCAACATGAGAAGTAATAATGCTGTGTTCCACACGAGTCGCAAAGTCGACAATTCAGATTTCCTACTTTCAGAAAGCTCATCTGACGACAATTAAAGTCAGAATTTAAATTTGACATAGACTAAACGGTAAAGTAAAGTATGGTAGTTTAATAAATTACAGTTAAATAAGTGATATTGCAGCTTGCCAAGACTTTATTTTGTTTGCATTCGTATATGTTTCCATGGCTAGATTTGCCGTTTTCTGTCAGAATTTCTGCCTTCCGACTCTGAGTGGAACTATTGGTGATGAGGTGTGAACGACAGGTGAGAGACTCGGTGTTTCCTCTGTATCATTCTGCAGGAGATCGGTCCAGGACAAACGTGGATGATGGGTTTAAAACACATTCAAGACGGTGATATTCTATATTTTTCTTACTATTAACAAATCCCATGAAAAGACCCAAACCAACAATGAACGTATCTACTAACACGTATTCTGTGTGTATCCACTGAAAATAGTCCCCAATTCACTCTTTACTCCTATTTGAATAACGTTTACTAGAAATCACAGTGAGAAGCAGACAGGGAGTAAAAGAAGTGTTGAGAGACGAGCTAACACGTTGTTGTTTTGGTCTGTTCATGGGATTTGTTGACAGTAAGAGAAATATAGATTAAGCTCAGTAAAAATAGATGTTCCCATATTTAAATTTTAGCACACACATTTCAAAATGACCAAATTAATATAAGATTCTGTTGTGGTTTTATTAAAATTAAGTGCTGAAACTGTTCAAAAGTTGATTAACGTCCTTTATTTGACAATTTGTATGAAAACTCAAAAATCCATTGACTTCTTAAATAGCAAATTTGGCTCTTTACAGATTCCTGATATCTCACTGCTACCGAATAAATCCAGAGGAAACCCTGCCGATGCTCAGTCTGAAATGTAGATTTCTGCTCTCATGTCTCCAAGGGTGGAAACTCAGCTTTATATCTGGTTGGCTGCTGCAAGGAGCCACCTGCCAACTAAAGCTTTACCTTCAGACATCCTCTCCTAGCACACAGGCCAGTGCCCCATGATGCAATGCAGGACAAAGTGCGACTGGGCACCCAGAGCTTTGCACAAATCCAATTTGGTGTTGATATGAATCATAGCAGAGAGCCTGCTGTGAGCTGGTCGCCCCGTCTGCCTCCTGACACGCTACTTACTAACTTTCCTCCCAGAGTCGACTTGGTGTGGAAGCGCTGCTTAGAATACCAGCCAGGCCGTATTACTACATACAATTCAGCAGACACTGTAAAGATTAAGTTCATTTAATACAAAGATTGCCAACAAAAGTTATTGCAGCTGCAAATTACAGGATTACTGCAGTACAAAGAATGGAGAACACATTCAGCGGTTCAGGAAATGTAGAAAGTGGTTGAAATATGAGTCAAGCAGCGCTTCATCTCACTGTGCAATAGAAGTACATCATGAAAATCATAAAAGTGGCCAATCGTGCACAATAAGAGGACTGTAAAGATGTTAGTGTAGGACTCACAGCGAACCTCAACTCAACATTTCTGTCTGTGTCGAGTACGGAAGTGTCCAGAAAGCTCGGTCAGATTCTTAGTTGTATTTTTATATTCTCTCATCAGATACTTCACGACTTATATCAGGAATATTAATTATTAATAACAACCAAAATGCAGACCTCACTGTCATTCAGTAGGAGGCTGCTGATCGTTTCTCAGCCACTGAACAACACTGTAGTAATGTGCCAGGGGCTTTGGCCAACTTCCCCGTCACAGCTGAAACATTTAGTCACAGACTGTGACACTGCCCGCTCACACACAGCGTGGACGAAGACGCCTGTAAGGCAGCGTCTCTTCTGGGGTACAAAACCAGCAAATATAAATTCCTCAAAGGGAGTTTAATTTGGGCTCAGTGGGTTTGGGATTAAAGTATAAAATCTATGTTTTGAGTTGCTTTGTTAGCTTACATGTGACATTCCTGGCTGGTGTTCTAGCAAAGCAGATGATAAACCGTTTACATTACAATGGCCTTATGGCAGCATGTTAGCCTATGGAAAAATACATGTACAGTACAAGCTGTTTCCACAGGTTATAATACTGAACTAAGGTCACTGTAAGGTAATGTTCCCAATGCAGTATTACAGTTGCTACTCACAGCTTCTCCTTGCAGTCAAAAAGCTTTTTTCTCCTCCCTCTGCTGCAGTTTCCCCTCCATGTTTCCACCTCAGCAGGCCTCACAGTGGAGGTATTTTTCTCACTTTTCTGTGTGTGTGTTTCTTTTGCTTTCCTGCAGGAGAAGGAAGGCAGGCATCCTGCCCAGTCTGGAGGACCTGCTCTTCTACACCATCGCAGAGGGCCAGGAAAAAATCCCTGCACACAAATTCACCACAGTGAGTCAGGAAACATGGCCGAGGATTTATGTTTGAAATGACCAGATTCAAACCAGTTTCTGCGAGATTTACAAATATAAACCAAACAATGGGCCTATACTGTATGATTTATAGGAGGTAGACTGTAGAGGCAGGCAGTGAATCAGCAGTGCTCCTTGTAGATGTCTCCCTGGTTGAATTATGAGCAGGATAACTCTTCTTGTTAGGCTCTTCAGGAGCCTCAGTTCACGGCTCGTAGCGTTATTGATTTAATGTCAGGCTGTCCTAATCATGATGTTCACCCTCTCTCGGCAGGCTCTTAAAGCCACGGGGCTTCGCACGGGAGACCCTCGGCTGAAAGAATGTATGGAGATGCTGAAGGTGACTTTGAAGACGACCTCTGATGGAGCGCTGGACCGACACCTCTTCAAAAAGTAGGTTTTATAGAACCACAGAGTTTTAAAATGTTTCTGTTGTCTTGCAAGACTGGAAAAAGGCGACACTGGCAGTCTTTTCTGGATTAATACTTTTAAATATAATGAAAGATCAATCTTGATTTTAATGAGAGGAGATTGTTCTAAAATCTGCAATGGTTTAGTCGTTTTATGTGCAAGATACACTGGAAAGAACGAGAGTGTAGCTTTAAGATTACATAAAAGGAAAATGTGTTTTTTGGGGACTTGATTTTTGCAAAAGGTTTAAAGACTCTTGGTCTCACAAATCCAAACTTATGTTATTGTGGGCGAAAAATATTGTGTGTATTATAATAGAATCCGTTTGGTCTTTTTGAGTAATATCCCGCTTGCTGTTCCACCTTTATTATCAGCATCAATGTTTCATCAGAGTTTGTTAGAAGAATTATTAATGCTGGTCAGAGTCTGCTGCACTTCACTGCAGCTTTAAAGGGTCACTGCATGTTGTTAATTATTCATCATTCCTCAGTTTGCACGTCTTCGGCATCTTGAGGTTTTCATCCAGCAGGATTCAAGAGCACGACTACTGGAAATAACTGTGAATCAGTTTATCTTAAAACTCAACACAACACACATCTTCTGACCATAACATGGAGAAATATAGATCCAAGTTAACATCTGCTTAACACATTTTTAAAAGATAGATCAGTGGTGTTTGTGATAGAGTTGATAAAAGATAGTTTGAAGTTTTTCTGCTTCATTATGCAGTGACGCTGGAGATGAAACAAGTGATATAATGCAGCTCAGAGAGTGACCTTTTACTAGCCTCCATCAAAGGTCAAAACGGTTACAGTGTGAGCGCAAAGAATTAGTCAGGCTGAACGAATGATGAAACATGAGTCAAAATTCAAGAAGGAACCTGTGTTAGTTAGAAACCTGCTTCAACAACTCTTTACTCACGATGGACAGTTTAAAGAAACAAAAAACGATGTAGCAGAACTATCATCTATTTTATTCCTTTCATTCTGCTTCCTTGTCAAAACCTGGAGCCTACATTACCCACAATGCATCCCCACAGCAGACAGTTTGGTTGGACATTCGATCGTGTTATAAGGACGCTGACATCCATCAGACTTCAGGCTGCTCCCTCTGGAAACACTCAGGGCTTTAAGCTTTTGTCACATGCAGTAGTACTCCCCAGGACGTGGAAACAGATTCTGATGTGTAAACATTTTTACATATCAGAAACACAGGAGTGGGGGATATGTTTAACACTAAGACAAGTAGCACAGTGTTAATTGTATTTATATAGTAATCAAAGAACATTTTTAGCCCCGTAAGCTGCTGTGAAAACCACAAATGGAAACAAAACCAGGATGGGTGTGGGGAAAAAATAACATTAACCCCCCCATCCCGGTACAGTAGCACCGCTGCTGTTTGACCCCCCCAGAGGAAACGATGCTGAAACAGAACTAGGTGACAGCTTGGGAAGTGGCAGCGTGGGGAGTCAGGACATATGACAGCTCTGCGGGGAGCTGAATCCTCACCGAACAGACCAGCACCGCCTCTCTGGCTGGGATCCATCACTTCCGCTCCCCGGGCTTATTTATAGAGCTCAGGCTCACAGAGGGAAGCACGTGAGTGTAGCGTGTGTTTTCTCTGCAGGGATCCCATGCTATAGGGATTAGACAAGGTTCAATGCAGTGAGATAGCTGAGGAACAAATCTCTGTGCTACCAGAGAGCTGCAGCTTCCACCTCGCTGCCTTATTGTGTCGAGTCGTGTGTTTACTATCTGTGGTTCTTAATCGCTTCGATAAAAAAAGGATCAGGACAACATTTGGGAGAAAGCTTGGTGGAGTAAAGACAACAGTTTTAAAACAAACTTGGACCAGAGAAGGTGCAAGTGTAAGTGTGTTTGGGGAATCTGAGGTTACGGTTTGGTTAAACAAAGGTGCAGAAATCCTCCCAATGAGCTCATCAAGCTGGAGAGAGCTGGTTTAGAAAAGTCAGCAGGAGATTGTAGAATGGAAATAAAGGCACCGAAACAGCAAGACAGACAGGTTCACACTACCTACTAATTACATGACATTTAAGTCCAGTAGCAGATGTCTCACAGTGGCAGCTGGTGTGTGAAACCAGTTCAGCTCATAAGATTTATGACACTGAAGGTCTGAAGCCAGTGTGATGATTAGTTTTATGTAAAGGCTTACCGTTAAGCCTCGTCAGGCATTTAACCATCAAACACGTGGTAATAATCACCTGTCCAGAGCCAACAAGAGATAGAACTTGGTCAACCTTTTGTCTTCAGACAATTACAATTTGGTTAAGACCCCCTTCCTCCCTCTCCACAGTAACCAGGGAGACAGAGGACACTCAATGAGCAAACTGTTTTCTGCTTCTATATCTTCAGATCTAAGTTTAAAGGTTTTTGTTTTCTTGCAACAGGAAACTTTAAACTGATCGTTACTTCCTAACTTCACCAGGAAAGACAGCTCCCCTGAGTCATGGTTATAGGCTAACTGGAGCCCTAAACTGTCTGTTTTTTCTCTTGTCTTAGATGTGTCCAGAGCAACATCGTTCTGCTCACCCAGGCCTTCAGGAAGAAGTTTGTCATCCCAGACTTCCAGTCCTTTAGCGCCCACATCGATGAGCTCTATGAAAACGCCAAAAACATGTCCGGAGGGCAGGTGAGCGAGGGCTTTTGGAAAGATAAAATTGTCTGCACAGACAACAAAGCACTCAAAAAGTTGTTCTAAATAAGGAGTCTAATAAAACGTTTTGTGTGTTATGTGATGCTATAGGTGGCTGACTACATTCCCCAGCTGGCCCGCTTCAGCCCAGACTTGTGGGCCGTCGCCCTGTGCACCGTCGATGGACAGAGGTAAAACTGAAATGTTAATTTTGTAGCTACAGATTCTTCACCGTGGTGGGAATCTGCACAGAAATCCAAACTAATTCACTTAAACAGCACAGACAGAAAAATGAGAAGAGAGGTGAAAAACAAGCATCCTCGTCGTTGGGAAGAAAAAAGGTGTGTGTAAACAAATATCTGTCTTTTCTTCAGGCACACTGTCGGCGACACCAAGGTCCCTTTCTGTCTTCAGTCCTGTGTTAAGCCGCTAAAATACGCCATCGCCGTTCACGACCACGGCACAGAGTATGTGCACCGCTTCATCGGCAAAGAGCCCAGCGGTCTGCGATTCAACAAGCTCTTCCTGAACGAGGAAGGTGAGGAAACAACCCCGGTCGCACACACTGCACCTTTGTGTTTGTGGTTGTGACTCAGCCAGCTGTGGTTGAACTTTCTCTACACACATTCGCTGTAAGAGGATCCATCCTAAGGCCTGGTTGCTATGGAGCTGTCATAAATTGTTAATGGGAGGTTGCAGCAGCACAGCAGAAGGAAACAACAGAGTGTGTGTACATCCATTACATGGAAATACAGCAAGCTGCTGGCACGTGGCTCTGTTAAAAACACAATGAGAGTCTATCTTTAAAAGTAAATGTCTCTCGTAGATTTTATGCAGAGTTTAACCAAAGTTTCCCAGAGGTCTGCAGGTTTTCAAATTTAATTTAAATCCAGGAAAATCCTTTTTTTCTTATGATATAATTAAGCGTAAAGTTTGACTTAATCCAGTTTATAAGGTAGATGCCACCAGCGCCGTTAATAAATGCATGTAGTCAGTTTTTTGTGTGAAAATGTTCAACTGTAGTGTGAATTGTTGGTTCATCCTGTGCAGCCGCTGTCAGCAGACATTACATCAAGTCCAGACATCAGGTTCTGTGAAAATAGTGTGTTTTTGAAGGGAAACTGGCGTGAGAACGTTTCCAGGTTTCCTCTCTTTGTTGTTATCTAACAGAGCAAAGGACTCGCCGGCAGCGGAAATATACCAGCTTAGATTTATTTTTTTAAACATTGTCCTGGCCGGTTGCATAAGAAGATTAAAACACAGAGAGGAAGTGGTGTATCACTGCACGCTGTGTGTTTCAGTGTGAATATTGTGTGGTTACCTACCTCGTTATGTTGATGTTCACTGAGCCTTTAAGTGTTCCCAAATGTTTTTTAATTTTATTGTTTGTATAAATGGGTTATTTTTAAGTTGATTTGTATTCCGGGTCACTGGTTATCCAGTCTGTTGTCTCTCTGCTCTTTCACATCTTAGTAAAAGGCAAAAAACTTTACTTATTTTCCATCCTACAGATAAACCACACAACCCCATGGTTAATGCCGGCGCTATCGTCTGTACCTCCCTCATTAAGGTAAGCTCCATTTACATTCCCCTTAAATAAATAAAGTTGGGCTACATGACTGTTTTTTGGACACCATATACTGTCGGTGATTAAAGAGTTTGTTTCAGATGGTTAAAATCCGTTGAAATGAATTAATTCCTAATTGCAGCAAGAAAGTCAGACAAAGTTTCATCCAAATAGAAATAATATGAAATAAAATTATAATCGTTTGGAGAACATGTTTCTGCCAGATTACTGTATACAGGGAGATTGAGGTTATAGATAATCATGCTGAAAGGGGATTTGGTTGAAAGCAGAATCACTCAGACATCCTGCACACACACACACACACGCGCACACACACACACACACACACACACACACAGAGTTTACAGGTGGGCGTAGAATGGGAGACAGTCAGCTCAGCTACATTACCATCTTTTAATCAGAGAAACTGCTCTGCCACCTGAGTGTTTCATTAAATATCCCCATCCGACCTTTAGACACACAGGGAGCGGTTCGAAACACAAGAGCACCACCTGCTGATTTAATTAAAAATGAAAACTCTGGGACTCTGACCGCCTCTCCTGGAGCGCTTAGTGAGGATCATGAAGGTTTCCCAGTAGAATGGAAACGAGCAGCTTAAAATTACACATTTAACCAGTGAGATCACAGGAAGTGTTGTACCTCTCCTACCTGCTGTTTTATTGAAAAACCTTCCTGGATGTCAAAGAGGAAAGCATCGTTCAGTACTGACCGTAGTACGAAAGCTGATCTACTGTAATTTAGTGAGTTAATACTTAGTGCTAATAGGTTACATTGAAAATAATATATATAGTAAAAGACAAATAAAAGTTGCAGTCCAAGCCAGAACTTGTCTTCGTTGCCCCATTTGTGGGGAAATTATAGAAATTGTATCGAGAAAATTGCCCAACAAACAACAAACACCTCTGTGGCTGTTTAATTTAATAATTATGTTGCTCAAGTGTGAAGAAGTCATATTTATCATGCGGTGTCTGATGTTGGGCATTGTAGCAGCAGCATTTTATTCATGTCACTGTTACACGTGTAAAAACAGACTGACATGTATGGTGGGAGTTGTGAATTAAAGCAGGAGAACAACACACTAAAGATTATTGAATAATCTGTAGATTTCTTCCTAGATTAAGCGATTAATTTTTGGTGATGTCTTTAAGTGTCTCAAAACCTAAATATGTTCGTTATCAATATAAACAGAAAAGATGGAAATATCCATGTTTGAGAGGCTGAAAACAGCATTTTTGCTTGTAAAATAACTTATATTGCCTATAAACAAACTTCCTCACCCACAACCTTAAACAATCTAAAAATGTACTGTTTGTCTGCTCTAACTGTCAGCTAGTGGAAAAGTTATCATTCTTTTCTGGTCAAATAAAGTTCAAGAGTAAAACCAAGAACACATAATGCAGCTGTAAGAGAACACAGGTATGTTAACAAGCATATTAAAACCCAAATCCAAACACAAGAAAGGCTCAGAATAGCTGTTTTTAATTTCCTTTTACATGACGCCAGCTGTGCACACGTGGATGAGTAGAGGATTCATCCAGTGTCTTATCATATGGGAATGAGACGTAAATACATTCGAACACACATCTGTATTGATCACTGATTGTTTACAGTGATTCTGTCCATCATTCCCGTATGATATGAAAACAGTTTTCCTGTCAACCAGTCCCACTCTCCCTCTGAATCCCAACCAATCACTGTTTTCTGTAGCTGAACGTTGAATCTATCGTATCCATTGATCCGAGTAATAAATCAGGTTCTATCAGGGACTCTGTGCATGCGTCCCCCCCCTCCTCTCTCCTCTCTCTGAATCTAGATCTACACTCATTTGCAATGTACCTTTTCAAGGCTCGTTGTGTGGTTTTATGTGTTGTTGCATATTTTACAGCATTAGGATCTTTGGGAAATTATGACCACTGCAACAGGTCAATGACGTTGGTAATTTTTCCTTTTTAATTATTTTCCCCCTCTTCTGTCTGGACTTGTGAGAAGCTTTTAGCCTTCACATGGCTGTTTATGAATGTGTTGCTTTTATACTTTTCACCTGCATTCTCCAACACTGTTTATACGTCTGGATTATAAACAGTACAGCTATGGCTCAACTCAAACACTGGTTTTATATCATACTCCATTCTTCTGTAGAGAAGGGCCTCTTTGTTTTTGATTTGTATGTTTTTAAGTTTTATTGTATATCCTTAGATTAAAACTTATTTTCTTTGTCTTTATCAGTCATCCATTTGAGTCACTAGGGACCCTCTGAAAGGGGAAGCTTTGGTATTTTTTAGACTTTATTTCCCATGTTTCTGTGTCAAAGTGACTAATAAACAAGTTTTAAAGTGGCTCCAGTTCTGAGTGAGAACGCTGCAGACTACAGCAGTGAAATGCTCCTAGGATTCATACTGACAGCTATTACAATGGGACATATGTTAATTAATGAATCCATATTATTGGAAATGATAAATCATCAGTTGATATTAATAATATTATATATTATTAATTCGTAAAAATACGTTTGTGGACAGATTTGAAGAGAGATAAGATATAATTATTGATGTAATAAGAAGATTTATTAATTTTTTTATTATTTCTATATACACCTTTTTACATACAGATGTAATTAATATGCATATAATTGCACAGGACAACAATAAATATACTGCAGTGTAGTTTAAAGGTAATATAGGTTATAAATATATATATATAAATAAAGGGCTGTGAATATACAGCACAGACAGAAGATAAGAGAAATAGTCGACGCAGTAACAGAATCATGATTCTTGAGTTTGGTGCGTTGAGCTGGATGGACTCACTGAGAAGCGAGCGTCCAATGTACAAAAGGTATCCCCGCCTAAATAATGCATCCCCTGCTTTATGTGTCGTTTTGACCTATAAATGGGACCATCAGTTAACTAAATGACGTATGTGAAGGAAGACTGAAACTAGAGACTGATGCAGGCTGCAGCGCTCTCACTCAATACTGGACCCAGTTTAAAGCTTGTTGTCACTTTAACACAAAACACAGGAACTTAAAGTTCAGGTTGAAAAATACAAAAGTTGCTCTTTAATTCAGATCTTGTCAACTTAGATAAAAAGGTTATTATTTCACCAACACATTAGAACCTAAATGCAGCTGTAAGACAAACGAAGGAATTCATAAGAAGTTATTAGGACCCCTCTTAACTCGAGCCTCAGCTTCAGTTTCTTTCCTGGCAGCCACAGTGGTTGATAATAAAGTGTATTCACACTGCAAGTTACATGTCAAATGAGTCTGTATACTGACTGATCAATGGCCATAATTCAGGCTGACCTTATACTGGCTTTTACTGGAATAGTGTGTTTAATTATTAAATTATTAATGAATAAGAAAGGCCTTTTATGTCAATATCAGAATTCATTATTTTATACATACAGCCACAAAACCCTCCAATCTGAGTAGTTGTTTTTGTTTTATACATTTAAAGACCCACATACAGTTTTTTGTTGCATTAAATGTCAATTTCAGAATTTTATCTGGAATATTTCTACATGTCAGTGTCAGAAAATATTGATTTCAGTCCGATCACCCAGCCAGATTAGACTGAAGTATCTCATCAACTTCCATTAAATTCTGTACAGACGTTCCCCTCCGGACGAGTGAGACTATTTCACAGAACAGTCACATTAGATGATGTCAGTGGTGAACGCCTCGTTATTGATTAAATCCACTGATTAAACATTACACTTCACTATAGAAACAGTTGTAGGAATCACAGAAACATTGTTAAGACTGAAGCGAGTTTTAGTCTTTAATATGTGTCCAGCTCAAACAACACTGGATCCTACATTTCCCATAATGCAACAAATGTAAAATCACACTTCTTATAAACCCCTAGTTTTATAAAGAAGGTTTTCTCTTATAAATCCGTCTCCGAGCTCAGGCCGAGGTATTTTGTCATACATACATACAAGCGACAGACAGGCTGAGTGGTCTTAACGTCTAACGTCATGTGACTCGCAGTGTGAATGCACCTTAAAGTAAAGTGAACTAACTCACCTTCCACGGCTTTTACAACAAACACACTCCACAGAAACACACTCGTAGACTCACTGATCAATAGCTGCACCTCTATCAGCCACAGCTAACGTCACTCTGTAGGTAGTTGATCTGGATGGAACCAGTTTAGTTTAATAAGTATATTTATATATATATTTATATATATTTTCTTTGATACGTTCCATGATAGTGTTTTCTGTTCTTTTACAAAACCAGAAACTCTGAGTGGATTAACTGTTTTATTTCACCTCCTCCATCTCCAACTAGTCTCCCACCTCTAATCTTAATCCATCAATTGGTTTGATTGGTCACATAACTGATAAACTCAACCTTTGATTTGAAAACCGTAGTGATGTAAACTGTTTTCCTGTCATAGTTTAATCTCATAGCGATATGGATCATACATAGTCGTGCTAATGTCATGACATGGGTAGCTTTTAGTGTCAGTGGCAGTTTGATGTCCAATTTGAAATGACAGGATACAAATTTAATACTGTGATTGTTCTGTTTGTGTTCCAGCAAGGGGCAAGCAACGCGGAAAAGTTTGACTATGTGAGTATTGCTGTGTTGTTTTAAGTGTTTTAATGTTTTGTGTGTAACATTTAGGGGATCTGTTGGCAGAAATGGAATATTAATATGTTTACTAGTGTATAATCACCTGAAAGAAAGAATTACACCTTACCTTCGATTGTTTTTATGTACAGAAGCCCAGAACAGACAAATCAAACACTGACAGTAGATGAAAGTAGATGAGCTGTGTTGAAATGGTTGCAGTCTGCAGCTTCAACACTAGAGGCCACTAAATCCTACA